TACACTTAATAGATGCCACCATTTTGTTACATTCGCTTAGATCATACATACAGTGTTTAAGACAAAAAAAATTTAGAGAAAATAAAAATACCAGTGCATTCACCTTCACCCAGGTTTTAAATAAACATGGCTTTGTGCTCACAGTGATATCAGGGTCCTGGTGTTAGTATCATTTGCTTTCAGTAAGTGTAACAATGTGGTAGAGCTAATAACTTCTAATTTTACCCATTTGTCTGTCTATCTTGTTATCCTGGAGATCAAACCTAGGGCCTTGCACATACTCGGCATACTCTGAACCACTGAACTCCATCTACAGACGTTACTTTTAGTCTTTATGAAAACAGTATTCAGTGGTTTGCTTCTTTAGCTTAACATTTTGAGATTTATGTTGACGTGTTTTGTGACTATTTTAATTTTTTATTCTATACAACTATAATTATTAATTAACTTTAATTGATGGACATTTGTTTCTTTTTCTTAGTATGTTGTGGTAAATCTCTTCTTTTCCTTTTTTGTTTAAAATTTTTTTTAACATTTTGAGTGTGTGATGTGTGTGTGCATGATGTATGTTTATGTGTGCAAGTGTGGTCAGACTTGCACACAAGTCACACAAGGACAAGTCAGATGACAACTTGAGGAAATCAGTTCTCTTCACCATATGGGTTCAGGGGATTGAGCTGAGGTTTTCAGGCTTAGTGGGAAGTGCCTTACCCACTGCCCCCTCCTTTTTCCCTGCTTTTCTTTTTTTTGAGACAGGGTCTCACTCTGATTCAGGCTGGCCTGGAGTTCACTATGTAACTAGGTTGGCTCGGAACTTGCAGCAGTCCTGCTTCAGCTGTCAGGCAGTGGCATGAGCCACAATGCCCAGCAGGAAAGCTGTTCTCACATCATCTTATTTATATATAAGAATGTTTTTAAAATTTCTTATAAACTTAGATTATCTGAGTAAACTTACAAAAAAGAAATATTTACTTAAGCTAGCAAGTAAATAATACCATTGGTTTCACTTTGATTTTTTTTTTCATTTTATAAAAAGTAATATTTTGCTGGGTGTGGTGGCACACACCTTTAATCCCAGCACTTGGGAGGCAGAGGCAGGCAGATCTCTGTGAGTTTGAGGCCAGCCTGGTCTACCTAGTGAGTTCCAGGACAGCTGGGGCTGCTGGGAGACCCTGTCTCAAAAAGACAAAAAAAAGTAATATTTTAAAATACCATCTAAGCTATTAGCCTTTGAACAGACAATTTTTGTCAGTCTTCTGTCTATTAAAGTGTAGGAGATGTTTGCAATATTGTTTTCTCAATATTTATTTCTTAGTGATGGAGTGTCAGATCATTTTTTAAACTTTTAGCTTTTTTGTTGCATTGATTACATTCTTCATAATTATTTTATAACAGCAATAATTTTCTCAAAAACAAAAGAACAAAAGGATTAAAGCTTTAATTGATTGTGACTATTCAGTAATACATGAATAAGCATGAGCTTCATGGCAGGATTGCAAATTATTTTGTGTGTGTGTGCGCATACGCGTGCATACATGTGTGTGCATACATGTGTATATGGGCACACATGCCTATAAGAGTGCATGCACCTGTGTGTGCACACATGGAGGCCAGAGGTCAGACATCAGACATCTGCCTCTGTTGTTCACCGCCTTATTATTTTGAGATGGGTGTGTCACTCAGCCTGGGGCCCAGACTGGCCAGCAAGCCCCTGTGATCCATCTGTCTCTACCTTTCCAGCACCAGGGTTGGAGTTGCAGACCAATACTGCCACAGCCAACTTTCATGTGGGTATTGAGAGTCTGAACTCAAGTACTTTTGTTTGCTTAGCAAGCACTTTACCCATGGAACCATCTCCCCAGCCCTAAATTTATTTTCATTTTGCTATTTTTGTATTTCAAACTTCTTTAAATGCACTTATCATATAATTGAAATGTTATAGTGGCATTCTGGCTTTCTTAAAAGAAAGATTAAATCAATCAAATAAACAAAAGAAAATATTAATAATTTTCTTTTAAAAATATTTTTATTCTGGGGCTGGAGAAATGGTTCAGCAGTTAAGAGCAGTGGCTGCTGTTGCAGAAGACTTGGGTTTGAATCCCAGCACTCACGTGGCAGCTAACAACTGTCCATAACTCCAGTTCTACTCTCTTCTGGCTTCCACGGGCATTCTACAATACGGGTGCACTTACATACATGCAGGCTTAACATTTATACACATAAAATAAATAATTTTAAAATACATTTATTCTTTGACAGCTTCATACATATGTACTGTGTCTCGGTAATACCTCCCCTAAACCCTCCCTCCTTCCCACTCCCCTAGGTTACCCCAGCACCCGCCCCCCACCTTCATGTCTTCTTGGTAATCGTCTTTTAAAATTACATTGATTTTAATGTGTGCGTGTGCACCAGTTGCTTCTCTCCTTTCACATGCAGGTCCTGGTTCAGGTGGTGAGACTTACCATGTCCTTTACTCCCTGAGCCATCTTGCCAGCCCCATAATTTTCTTTTAATTATCCCTTTTTCAGTACTTGCTTTCAGTTTCTCATCATTAAATGAAGAAAAAGTTATTGCTGGGTATTAAACTTAAGTCTCTTTAGAATGATACAATCTTCAGATGATTTAGACTGTTAGATAGGAAAGGTTTACAGGAGGCTTTAGAGGTTTCCAATAGACTTTTGTTTCTCATCCCAGTGTTGGGCAGTTGACCTCCCCTTTCTGAGTTCTTACATGCCCAGTGAGTCCAGGTATCAAGTATGTTTGCCAGGATAACAGGTGCTTCCCTTTATCCATGATTGGTTTATTGAGAATCTCCAAACTGGATTATATCATAAATAAAAGAGTACACAATGTTTTGTTTTTCATTTGAGTGAATATATGGTCTATCTGTTTTGTAGGTATGACCTGGTTTCTAGGGAGTGGCTTCCACTAAACCATTCTGTGAACAACGTGGTTGTTAGATATGGTCACTCTTTGGCGTTATATAAGGTAAATGATCTCTGCTTCATACCAAACAAGAAATTCAGCTCTTACTCTATTATGTTTTGTATCATTGAACAGCTATTCAATGTTGGCTTTTAATTGGTATAAACTTTCTTAGGTGGGCTGGGCATATATAATTGTCCAGGTTTTATTTGGAAATTGAAGTTCTAACTTTTTCAACTGTTGGCATTTTGTTGCATTCAAATTGTACTGGTACTAAATAGTTAAAAAGTGTAGATGTAAAAGTGTGGATTAGCTTTCGTGTCCATTAGCAAGTTCAGCCACATTGTAGTGTGACTGAATAGCCATTTTCATGTCCATGTTTTTGTACATATGTGTTAGGGTGAGGCAACTTTATTTTTTCAAGTCATCTTATTCTGTAATATATCTCAAGGGAGGAAGTCCCCCCAAAGTGGTAATGTTTTAGAGATGTAGAGAGTGGGTAAATTTATTTAATTTTGTTCTTTTCTCTATCCTTTTCACTAAAAAGTACATTTTACTAGTACTTAAAAAAAATTATGTGTATGTGTGTGGTTATGTGCATGTAAGTGCAGGTGAGAGAGGCATTGAACCCCCCTGGAGCTAGAGTTCCAGGCAGTTGTGAGGTACTTCATGTGGGTGCTGGGAACTGAATTTGGGTCCTCTGCAAGAGCAGTACATCCTCTTAACCACTGAGCCATCTCTCTAACCCCTCACTAATACTTCTTAAGCTAAGAATAATATTGAAGCTTTGAACCAATCATTTTCTGTACTTAGATTTGAATTTCTTTTAAAGATTTACTTATTTTTTATGTGTATGAGTATTTTACTTGCATGTATGTATGTGTACTGTGTGTGTGCTTTGTGCCTGAGGAGGTCAGAAGAGGGTGTCAGAACCTCTGAAACTGAAGTTGAAGGTGATTGTGAGTCACAAGATGGGCTTTGGGAACTGAACTGGGTCCTCTGTAAGAACAGCAAGTGCTCTTAACCTTTTAGCCATCTCTCCAGCCTCAGATTTGAATTTTTTCCTTTTTATTATTATTTTTGTTTTGTTTTGTTTTGTTTGTTTTGAGACAGGGTCTCACTATGTAGCCCTGGCTTGTCTTAAAACTTGCTATGCTATGTAGACCAGGCTGCCCTCAAATTCACAGAGATCCACCTGTCTCTGTCTTCTGAGTGCTGGGATCAAACGTGTGTGCCACCACATCCAGCTAGATTGGAATTTTTAATGTTGGTTTTTTTTTTTTTTTTAAATCCTGTTTATGTCTTTCCCCTAGGATAAAATCTATATGTATGGAGGAAAAATCGACTCAACAGGAAATGTGACTAATGAATTGAGAGTATTTCATATTCATAATGAATCATGGGTATTGATAACCCCTAAAGCAAAGGAGCAATATGCAGTGGTTGGACACTCAGCACACATTGTTACACTGAAAACTGGCCGTGTGGTTATGCTGGTTATCTTTGGTCACTGCCCACTGTATGGATATATAAGCATTGTGCAGGAATATGATTTAGGTATGTATCTTTCTCTCCAGTGGATATGTTTTAAATATCAGATTTTAAATTACTACCTCTTTGTTTGTTTGTTTGCTTAGAATCTTGCCTTTTTATTCTTT